CTCTCTCTCTCTCTCTCTCTCTCTCTCTCTCTCTCACACACACACACACACACACACACACACACACACACACACACACACACACAAACACACATGCACGCACATGCACACGCAAATGCACACGCACACGCACACACACGTATGCACCCGCACACACACACATGACCGCGACTCTCTCTCTTTCACACACACACAAAAGAGCGCCCACATATACATAAATGCCCGCGATTCATCTCTTTCTCTCTCTCTCTCTCTCATTCTCTCCCCTTTCCCCCCTCCTCACGTACTCCCTCCCCTCTCCCTTCCTTCCTTCCTCCCTCCCTTCCTTCCTTTCAATTGCAAACTGTCTCTTGCCCCATAGTGCAACTATAACTCGTTTTGTGACTGTACTGAAGCTACCCCTTGTTTTCATTGTGTTCCTCAGCTGAGCCCAGGCTTTTTGTGTGCATGTCTGATGGTTTCTATTATGTGCTGTTTGGCTTAGGGAAAACCAAAGTTGTGTCCTTTCTTTCTTGGGAGCAGTGGGCCCTCCTTACCGAGATGAGGACTTGAAGTTCCAGTCTGGGCCCTCCTTACCGACCTAACTTGGAAGGGAGACCATGCTGTTTGGCTTGGTGATGGTTGGTCCAACAATATGAACGCAGTGTGTATCACTCAGGACCATCACCCGCTTACCATCTTGGCAGGGTGATCTAACAGGACAGAGGTGCCAGATGTTCTCTCTTGAACATGGATGTGGCTGCTACTCGGTTCCCCATAATACGAAGGGTCTAGCTCCACCACTCTCCTTTCTCAAAAATGAACAGAAGGTGGAGAGTTGTCAGACTCTCTAAAACCAACTCTTTAGGGTCTTCAGTCCACCTACTCTCCATTCTGGCAGCTCTCCGTTCCTTCTCTTTTTTCTGCTGCAGCTGACAATCAAGAAATGAGCAGTTCCAACCTGCAGCCGGTTCTCCAAAACGGAGGTTGTTCAAGTGGTCTGACGACCGGCTCTCCATTTTGGCGAGTGTACAGGCTGAGGACTCTCCCACTTTGAAGACTCCCCTTGGAGGAATCTTTCTGACAGTTCTCAGTGAGTTTTTCAGCTTGAACCAGAGGGTGTGGTGGCCCAGAGCTCCCAAGAAGTACAAAAAGCTGGGGTGGGTCACGCTGCCCCGCAATCCACCATGATGGGGGTGTGAGACCGGGTATAGGCCTGGAAATAAAAACAGCACAGCTAGCTTTGAAGATGGTTAGTTTGGTAGTAATACTTGGAATGAAGGGATGGGTAGAAGTAGCGCTTGGAGTTGTCCATGAACTCCACAGGTTTTTTAAGAAAAAATCCTGAAGGTGTAAGTCCGTCCGTGGCACAAACAAGTTTGTGAAAGGGCAACAAAATCACACGTGGGCAAGTTTGCAAGGACAACAAAAGCATTTCTACCCAGACACCAAGTTTGAATAGGGTGATTTTGTTTTCCTTGGGTACTCCGTTTCACCCCTTCGTCCTTTCCATTTTTTCAATTGTCCAACCCTCTTCTCCAAACCCTGTGTCTCCAATTCCCCAGGGGATCTCCATTCCCCCTCCAAGCCCATCCAGTCCAATTGTTAACTCTGTGCTCAAAAGCCTCTAACCCCTGGCCCTTATGCAAGTCCACTATCCCGGTGGTGGTGAGAGAACCACCATAATTGAGGCCTTGGCTGCCAAGCGGCTCCATCTATTGGCGGGGAGTGGCACCTGCTGGAAACCAGGTCCAGCAACCCTGAGTTACATCAGTTATGCAGAATGTTGAGGCAATAGGCCTTACTTGCACGATTCCAGAGCACTCACTATCCCACGGGGCTGCTACGAATACCTATCCCTTTCCCGGGCTCCTACTCTAGTGGCTCAGCCCCCTCGTAAAACATTGCCCTGCTTTCCTATCGATTAATATGTTTCCCCTTCTGCCCAGCAGGTATTGTCTGCTCCCAGCAACCTGCAGCCCTCCTGTTTTTGTTAAACCCTTTTTAAACTCTCCGCCATAGTCGCCTACTGCCGGCCAGACGTCTGTTTCAACCCCACCACCAACAGCTTTCTTAGTCTGTAGTCCCGTTTCGTAGTCCATCCCCAAGTCCAGGTGCCAGGAGGTCATCCGTTTAATTGCTTTTCCGGCCTTTCCTGGCCGCTGGCACTTGTCGTTCCTTGTGAAGCCCATTTCATGGAGGAGTCTTCTCTGGTTCTGGCAGTACTTAAATCCTCCAGCCACTTTATCTTTTCCTTCCTCACCCAAGCCCACTCGTATGATGATGATCATCGACTTCTCTCTCCTTCACTGTCCACAATCATGGTTAATTTCTTCCTTCCTTGGTCTCCCTGGCTGTGTCCGTCTACGTTGCTTTCCTCTCCTCCCCCTCTCTCCCCCCAGCTTCCATCGCTCCCTCCCATCCACTTATCCCCACTTCAGATGGATCGCTGTTCTTTCGGCCCAGTAGTCACCTGCATGGTCAGGCCTTTCATCTTCTCGTATACCTGTCTCTTATACACATCTAGATGTGTATAAGAGACAGGTACATAGAGAGTCTCTCTCTCTCTCTCTCTCTCTCTCTCTCTCTCTCTCCCCTATCTATCTATCTCTCCCTCCCTCCCTTCCTCCCTCCCTCCCACTTGACACGGTGCGCACTTCCTGCTTGCCATGTTCGCTCGCTCCTCAGGCATCAACGCTTTCGGAGGTCAACCTGCTGCGCGGGAGCGGAAAAATAGAACGAAAATTGAAAATATGAAAAGTCCGGCCTGGGACAATTTTTTGGTTCCAGGCTGGTACCTTTATCGGCCTCATATTGGGTCTCTGGCGTCAGGGCTGAGTCCCTGAGGCCCTGAGGCCAGAGGCCGACGGGTCCTATGCTGGCGAAGTCTGCAAAAGACGACAATTTTGCTGGGAAACTCTGTGGGCCAGGCTGCTGTGAAACGTATATTTCTGCAAGGGAAACTTGGATCGGACGATAAATATGTTGTCCTTTTAACCCGAAGTCCTTGTGATTATGCCCTAGTCAGGCCAGTCGTCGAATTTGCAGTCTGAACCTGGCCGCTGAGGCCTCGGCCTGCACACTATTTTACCCAGCAATCTGGCTCCCAAATTCACACATGCAAACCCGTCCTCACACAAAAATGCCTGCAACTCTCTCTCTCCCCCTCTCTCTCTCTCTCTCT